CAGAGGAGAGTGAAACATGGGGAATCAGTGGCCGAGGCAGGAGTCAGTTATGACCAAATAACACGGGGGAATCATCACTTATATCAAATGAACCATAGGTAAGAGATTCCTCAAGGACTCCCAAAGAGAAAAGGTTGCTTTCCGATGCAGTCCTCTCCACCCTGCTTCCAAAAACTAGTGTGGTGGACTGATGTTTCCTGTCTAAAAGAGAATGAAACCAGAAAATTAGTAGTTCTGGCATCCTTGGGTACATGGATATGGATCCTTCACTAAATCTGGTCTTGACTTTGTGAGAAGCATGAAAGCAGAATTCACCTGCATCTCTAAATGTGCTTGATCTCCTTTGCTTAGTAATTGAATAAACAGTAAAATAAAATGAAAATATTTCTAGCTTGTCCAAATTGTAATTCTTACCAGTCTTTGTTCTTTTGATCAGATTATGTACTTTGACCTAGCATGATTGATACTGGGGAGAAAGTTAGCTAGAATGACTTCATGGTTTATGGGGAGAGCTAGGAAAGATGGAGACAAGGATGACATTTCCCCTCCTCTGCCTGCTACCTGGGTATGGCTTACTATGAACACATTGCTTTTGGAGGCATTGAGCTCTGGGTTCTCATCAGTGAAATCCATTTGAGTTGCCAGACAACCCAGAGGAGGTCTCCAGGTGAAGCAAAAAGGAAAGGGAAAATAGAATTTTGGCTGGTTTCCCTGGATTATGTAAGGAGCAGGCTGTTAAAATAGAAGGCAACTCATGTAGCTAATGACCCCCTGTTAGAGAAGGTGCCTCTAGATGGATCATATCAGATTTTCCAGATGGATGACTATGGTTGGCATTCTTCCTGTTTGTCCTGGAATTAGATCGTCTGAAGCTGTTATTTTATTTTCATTTCAATTCATATCACTTCAATTCTCTAATAAATGAACATTGAGAAAGATTATGAACTAATGATTAGTTTACCTAATTGTACTTGTTATTCAGTTTTATTTCTCTTTTTTAATTTTATTTTATTATGTTATGTTAATCAGTCTTATTTTTTTAATTGTTCCCTAAGTAAAAAGAGCCTTGTTACTTATGTTGATGAAATCAAGATACACTATGTCAACCACATACTATTGATTGATCAACAATTAGTTAATGAGTATCTCTTTGTGCCAGGAACTAGGAATTTAGGATGCATCTTTGAACAAAGCAGATAAAAAGATTTTGCTCTAATTTTGCATTTTTTTGTTTTACTCACATTTAATAATGGCTTAGAACAAAAGATTTGAAATTCCAACTACATTTCCATTCCCTGTAGACCTGTTTTTCCTCTCCATACAGACATGGATAGACACACAAACTCACTCACTCATCTATTTAAAATTTGGAGTATTTAATGGTAAATGTTGAAATACAAATGTACCTTTAATTAGATTTCCTTTCACTCCTACTTTTTTTCCTGCTACAGACCATCAAGTCTGTCCAAAGATTCTTTCTGAATCTTTGTTATGTTTGGTTATCATTTTTATTTTAACTAAGCTGTTGTGTTTTAGGAGTTGTTTTTAACTAGATAACAAGAGTTAAGTGATCATTTACATGTTTTTGATTTTATGTCTCTCAAGCATAGTGTTTTTGCTTTTGAAGCATTATGTACATAGTTTTATTTCCTTAAGTATCAAGTAAATTAATGAAGTTGGATTTTGTCTCATATAGTAATGAAAATAGTTCCCTTATTCTATAAGAAATATTATTTAATAAATATAAAATAGAAAGAATGGGGATTATAAATTCCCTCTTTTGAGTATTTCATGACCTCACTCTAATCTCTGCATCTAAGCTATTATTAATGCTGGATACAATATAAGAGAAGAAAATTAAAATTAGAATTTCTGTAATTCAGAAATGATATAGCAGTATAAAGGGGTGAAAAGTTGAAGCCAAGGATCTGCTGGGTGTTTGGATCCATGAGGTAAAGGGGTAAGGGCAAAAAACAAAACAAAACAAAACAAAAACAACCAAGCCAGGTTTGGTTTGAATCCAGGGGCTACAACAGGACCTCTCTGTTTAGCTGGGGAGACTGGAGGCTTGCTACCAGTGACTGCCTGGGGCTGTGGCTTATGCAAGCTTGCGTCTATGGAGGTTTCTGGATATAGTGTTTGGACCAGTCTTAAGTCAAGCTTCCCTCTGGTGCAGCAAATTGATTTGCAGTATGCTCAGTTTTACTGGGAGGGAGGAACTTGGAGCCGCTGATAGGAGATTTGGTTCTGGACTGTCAAAATGTTGGGCAAAAGAGAGGGGAGCAGAGGAAAGAGAGAGTTATCAAGTACTTTATTATTTTTTTAAAATTAATTTATTTACTTGAGAAAGAGAGAGCAGAATGAGCAAGAACACGAGTAGGGGGAGAGGGAGAAGAGGATCCCCACTGAGCAGGGAACCCAAGCAGGGCTCGATTCCAGGACCCTGGGATCATGACCTGAGCCGAAGGCAGACGCTTAACTGACTGAGCCACCCAGGCGCCCTCAAGTACTTTCAAATAGAAAAAAACCCCAAAAGCTCCAAATTCCAAAATGTGGAAAATTCATTTTAGGAAACACATCCAACAAAAGCTGTAGATGGAACATGACTTCCTCCTAGACAGGTCAAAATCAAAGAGAGAATTGGCAAATTGCAAGATAATACTCAGGAATTTGCTCAGAATGCAGCCCAGGTAGACAAAATGACTTTGATTGATTAAAAGAAATGAAGGATAGCTAGAGAGTCTCCAACATTTGCACTTAAATCTAACAGTAATTCCAGAAGAAGTGAATAGAGGAAATAAGAAGCAATATTCAATATTCAAATGACTGAGGGATTTTCAAAATCTGAGGAATTTTCAAAATTCCTGAGATTGAAAGTGTATTGCAAAGAGCAAGTGGAATAATTAAAAGTAACTTCACACCTAGTCACAGATTTGTGAAGTTGGGAACATCAAGAATAAAAAGAAAAATTTTAAAAGCTTCCAGAAAGGAAAAAAAAAATTACCTGAGGATTGACATTAGACAGCAAATTTCCCACCAGTAGAAGCATATAACAGAAGGTAAATATACTAAGTGTCCTCAAAGTGCTGGGGTGAAATAACTGTCATCTTGAATTTTATGTCTGGCGAACTTGTTACAAGAGTGAGGGTAGAATTATATTGACATTTGCAAACATAGAAATAATAAGAGGACTTAGATGTTCATTGAGAAAACTATCAAAGCACGTGTTACAGCTAGGTGGGGTGGGGGGTGGGGAAGAAGTAGAATGGAAGAAACAGTGATAAATTCAGGAAGTGGCAAATATTCTGATAAATTTAACCAACTACTGATTGCAAAAGAGAACTTGGTTTTTAGGGTATATTTTTTAAGAAAAGACAAAACCCTAGTAAATAATGAGGGATATGAGAGAGGAGTAGTATTCAAAGGGTAGTTGAAACATGTTAAGGTTCTTGTTTTGGGAGGAGACTGAAGATCCTCAAAATTTTATATTTAGATAAAATTAAAGTTAAAAATGTGTCAGGCCATACAGACGAACTAAGAATATCCTTTATTGTGACATCTAAATATCCTTGTTTTAATTCCACTTTCTGAATTCAGAAATGTGCTTGGACAGGCTTTCTTTGGGGAGGTGAATGAAATACAATTATGGAGACATAAAATAGATTGGTGGTTGCCAGGTCTTAGGGATGGGAGGTGGGAGTAGAGTGGGAGTTGTTATAAAGAGGTGGGGGGGAAGCCTTGTGGTGATGCGACAGTTCTGTGTCTTGATGGTGGTGGTGGTCACAGAAATCTACACAGGTGATAAAATAGCATAGAACTGCACACAGCTATGAGTACGTAAAAAAACCAGTGAAATCCGAATAAGTTCTGTAGATTGTACCAATGTGGTTTTCCTGGCTTTGGTATTGTGCTATAAATATGAAAGATGTTATCATTGGGGGAAACTAGATGAAGGGTACCTTCATCTACTTCCCTCTACCGTTTGTTTTTACAATTTACTGTGAGTTTACAATTATTTCAAAATTAAAAGTTAAAAAGTGGTCTAATTAATATTTAGTGGTTTTGTAATGATTATCCTAATCTTTGTGTTAAAATTTTGAACGCCCTGAATTAATATTTAATAAGATAGATTTTCTATGAATGTGGAAGATGGACTCTTCATGCTCTAGGTAACACAGTTATAAATGTTTTGCTGAGAAAAGGAGAGGTTTTTTTTTTTTTTTTTTATATATTTAAAGAAAGCCATATAGGGGAGCCTGAGTGGCTCAGTCGGTTAAGCGTCTTCGGTTCTGGTCAAGATCCCCGGGTCCTGGGGTTGAGACCCCAGGGCTCTCTGCTCAGCTGCGGGTCTGCTTCTCCCTCTCCCTCTGCCCACTGCTCCCCCTGCTTGTGTTCTCTCTCTCTGTCAAATAAATAAAATCTATTTATTTTATTTAATAAAATAATAAAGCCATATAATTTATAAAAAATAATTTGCTTAATTTTTATAGATTGCCAATTATGTAGGACTTCAAGGTGGGACTGTATCTTATTTATCTTTGTTTGCTTCCATAGTCCATAACAAATAAGACACAGTAATCGTTTCAGACACCCAACACATTTGCTTATTTCTTAATTTTGCTGTGTTATATTCTAGCTATGTTCTTAAATTTGCTGTGCTGTATTACTCTAGATGCGTAGTAACTCCCTGTTTCTTTGTTGTTCATGGAAAAACAATTTGACCAATTTACTCATGAAGGCATTTGCATGAGCAGCAGAGTTTTCAGGTGGGAGTAAATGGAGATGGATTACACAATACAGTTCATGCAGCTTAATATTGAATGTTTAAAATTCCTCTTTTTCAAAGTTCTTTGGTGACTTCTCATAGACCAGTTATATCTATAGACTGCAGCCTTCTGCCATGTTGTCTTATCCCTTTATCTTCAAAAATTATTTCCTCTTCTCTTATACTTTTTCTTACCTATACATTTCTTCATTAAAAAAAAAAAAAGCAGAGCTTTTTTTTTAGCGCCATCCGCTCGCGGCGCCGCCTCCTGCTCCTCCCGCCGCCGCCCTGAGTCACTGCCTGCGCAGCTCCGACCGCCTGGCTCCCCGTGCTAGCCACCGATATTTGGAATTCTTACAACATGGCAGACATTGACAACAAAGAACAGTCTGAACTTGATCAAGATTTGGATGATGTTGAAGAAGTAGAAGAAGAAGAAACTGGTGAAGAAACAAAAATCAAAGCGTGTCAGCTGACTGTTCAGATGATGCAAAATCCTCAGATTCTTGCAGCCCTTCAAGAAAGACTTGATGGTCTGGTAGAAACACCAACAGGATACATTGAAAGCTTGCCTAGGGTAGTTAAAAGACGAATGAATGCTCTCAAAAATCTTCAAGTTAAATGTGCACAGATAGAAGCCAAATTCTATGAGGAAGTTCAAGGAAGATCTTGAAAGAAAGTATGCTGCTGTTCCTTATCAGCCTCTATTTGATAAGCGATTTGAGATCATTAATGCAATTTATGAACCTACGGAAGAAGAATGTGAATGGAAATCAGATGAAGAGGATGAAATTTCGGAGGAGCTGAAAGAAAAAGCCAAGATTGAAGATGAGAAAAAAGATGAAGAAAAAGAAGACCCCAAGGGAATTCCTGAATTCTGGTTGACTGTTTTTAAGAACGTTGACTTGCTCAGTGATATGGTTCAGGAACATGATGAACCTATTTTGAAACACTTGAAAGATATTAAAGTGAAGTTCTCAGATGTTGGCCAGCCCATGAGTTTTGTCTTAGAATTTCACTTTGAACCCAATGAATATTTCACAAATGAAGTGTTGACAAAGACATATAGGATGAGGTCAGAACCAGATGATTCTGATCCCTTTTCTTTCGATGGACCAGAAATTATGGGTTGTACAGGGTGCCAGATAGATAGGAAAAAAGGAAAGAATGTCACTTTGAAAATCATTAAGAAGAAACAGAAACACAAGGGACGTGGGACAGTTCGTACTGTGACCAAAACAGTTTCAAATGACTCTTTCTTTAATTTTTTTGCCCACCCCGAAGTTCCTGAAAGTGGAGATCTGGATGATGCTGCTGAAGCTATCCTTGCTGCAGACTTTGAAATTGGTCACTTTCTACGTGAGCATATAATCCCAAGATCAGTGTTATACTTTACTGGAGAAGCTATCGAAGATGATGATGATGATTATGATGAAGAAGGTGAAGAAGCAGATGAGGAAGGGGAAGAAGAAGGAGATGAGGAAATGATCCAGACTATGACTCAAAGAAGGATCAAAACCCAGCAGAGTGCAAGCAGCAGTGAAGCAGGATGTATGCGGCCTTGAGGATAACCTGCACTGGTCTACCTTGTGCTTCCCTGGAAAGGATGAATTTACATCATTTGACAAGCCTATTTCAAGTTTTTTTGTTATTGTTTGTTTGCTTGTTTTTGTTTTTCCAGCCTAAAATAAAAATGTCAAATATAATTTTAGTTCTATAGTGACGTGGATAAAACTCACAGATGCAACACTGAGCAGGAGAAGCTGGACACAAAAGGATATACACTGATCTACTTTAAATAAAGATAAGAAATAGGCAAAACAAATTCATAGTGTTAGAAATCAGCAATAGTGGTTTCTTTTTGGGAAGAGGAGCATTGTACTTTAGAAGGGGGATTTTGAGGGTCCTGTGATAGTCTATGTCCTGATGTTCATGGAGGTTGTAAATGTGTGTTTACTTTGTGAATGTTCATTGAGCTGACTCTTGTAGTTTGTATATTATGTGTTTTATACTTCAGTTACATAGTTTATTTTCAAAAAGGCGAGTTAAATATTCTCATTTCCATTTCATGATTGAGCTATCTAAACTTAAAAGATTGAGTTATTGGCCATTGAATGAGAAGTGGAATGCAGCTCCAATGCTTCTTTTCCACCACCACTACTTTCAAAAAGTATTTACTGAGCATCCCTTTGCATGATTAAACTTTTTCTGATGCTCTTCATCCTTTACTTTTTCTCTAAAAGGCCATGGCCATACAGTAAATATTGTAGACTTTGTGGGCCATATGGTCTCTGTTGCAATTACTCAACTCTGCCATTGCCGTGTGAAAGCAGGTATATACAGTTCATAAATGAATGGGGTGGTGATGTTCTAGTAAATAATTATCAACAATGAAACTTAAATTTCAGTTAACTTTTACATACCATAAAATATCATTCCTCTTTTGTTTTTATTCAATCATTCAACATTCAAAAATGTAAAAACTATTCTTAATTCCTGGGCCATACAAAAATGGGTGGCCGGCTGGATTTGGCCTGTGGGCCTGTTTACCAACCCCTGTCTTAGGGGTTCTATTTGTGTGTTTACATAAATTGCAGTTTATGTCCATAATTTATTTATTTCTTTATATACATGGGCAAGGAAGCAGCCCACCCTATATTGTGAGGATCTTTAAATTGTCAAATTTCCAGCTTATTTAGCACATCACTAATTTCATGGCTCATAGGTTAAGCTAGAAAGTTCTCTGAAGAATAGCTTTGTCCACATTCTCTCTCTTGTGTTTTCTTCCGTTTCTTCCCTTTGCATTTAATAAGAATACACAAAATTTTCTGGGATAAGAACAAACGGATTTCTCAAATGTTAACAGCTGTTGAACCATCTGTTATTAAAAAAAGAGTTTGATTAGCACCCTAGCGCAAAGAAGCCGTTTTAGCTCTGGGTGGGCCAGGATAAAGAGGAAATAGAAGGCCTAGCTAACCGTTGATGGCTAACCCTATTGACAGCAGAGCATACCTTATTTGGAAAAGGATGTAAAAAACAAAGTGTTAATTTGAAGACTCTTGCTAAATTATCATTCTTATGAGCTTTTATATTCATTTTGGTGAAAAATATGAAAGGAAGGCATAGCATATGAAAAGAAAGAGCTTGGGGAAGTTACTTGCAAATTTGTAAAATTAAAATTTGATTGTCTGTATATCCTTGATTTTTCTCAACTGGTTTCCTGTGGCATGCGTGCTATAAATCCCCCCAACGTGTGGTCTTCGGAGTTTGCTCATTGGGTCCTGGCTATTACGGAGAATAGAAACTATTTTAGTAATGTCTGACAGACTGAACCTATAGCTGTAAGCGTTATAAGATGTGAGGAGTGAGGCACAAGGAACATATAAGAGGTAGCATATATCACTAAGTTGGCACCAAGGAAAACTTCATGTTTACTGGAACAAATTAGCATTTGGCCTGGTGAGTTTATGGGATGGAAATCAAGGCAGTAAACACATCAACTCAAACATTAGAATAGTGCTGAAGGTCATCCAAGAGAATACTGTAATATGTGGATAAAATTGCAATCCTTTAAATATGCAGCCCAAAATTCTAGTATTCAAAGTATGTCATGAACACAATGGTCTAAACATGTGTTTCTCAACATGGCAACTATTGGGAGTTTGGGCAGTAATTTTTTTTTATTTGCAAGGATAGCCTCACATGCTTTCCAGGATGTTTATCATTCATGGTCCCACCCCCTAAATAACAATAGCATCCTTAATTATTCTGACAACCAAAACATCTTCATATTCTTCCAAATGTGGTATGGTACCACCACTCCTGGCTCAAAACCACTAGTTTAAATGATACAATTCTTCTATGTCATTAACCTTACTCACATTAGACTTGTTGGACTTTGTGTTGGACAGGGGGTTTCTAAACAACCAGAGTTTGCAAAAATAGACATCTTGGCAATAACACATTAAGATATAAAATGTTTCTTTTGCTTTTCAGATAACAAAGCAAAAAAGACACATTAAATAAAAGATGTGCTATCCCTAAAATTAATATACATTTTTCTTTATTCTCTCTTTATATACAAGCTGATACAGTTAAAATTTGTGTATGGCTATTTCTAATAAGCACAGCTTTTCACTAATTTCAATATATTGATCCTACTCTTTCCTTTTGGATGATACATATTTTATTTGTCCTTTCTTTCACATGCCAGCCCTTTATATGATTAATTATGGCCTCTATAGATAAATCACTCTTAGTTATTTAATTCAAATGAACTTACACCCCATGTAAAGTAGACTTTGTATACCTCATTGTTTTTGTTGTCCTTTCAGTACATTGTTGTCAATGTCCTTCCTAAGGTATGGTGCCCAGAATTAAATCAATTAATGTTGCTGACCATTGTCAGGTTACAGTGGGTGTTGAGTACTGTGACCTCCTTTGATCTGGATGTTAACTTCCTGTTAATGCAAATGAAGAAGTCTGTTAGCTATTTTAGATTCATGAGTTATTACTACTTAATGTTGTACTTTTGGGCATGTACTTTTTTGGTCATTTTATTGGAATTGCTGTTAGTCTTTTTCATCTTACACACTTAAGTTACTGAGGTTTTATTCTGTTTCAAACTTTATATTTTACTTTTACATTTTTTCTTGTTGGTTTTTAGTTTAATTAAACTTATGAAGAATAGTTTGAATCCTGATTATGTCACTCATTGCATTAGCAATTCCTCTTATACTTGTGTCAAACAATTTTCAGAAGCATGAGTGTTATGTCATTATCTAAATTATCAATAAAAATGCTGAACAGGGCAGAGACAAGGATAGAATTCTACAACAAGTCACTAGAGAACACTCTCCAGATTGATAGTCATTAATCAGCAATCTAGTTACTATTCTCAATAACAGTAACCATACCTAGCTATTTTATCCAATTCACACCTCTGAGTCTTTTGACCTGTCTAGTGACTTGAAATAAAGTATCTATCTGTCTAGGGTACAGTTAAGTACTTTGAATTTATAGTTGAGTAAATTGAAAATCATAATGCAGGATGTTTGTAAAATAGGATTATAATTTGTATCTGTGTATACATATGCATATAATTTTCTTATGGCAAATATTGTTCTCAGCTTCCTCCCCACCTTTTGGTGGCTTCTGCTTTCTTACATTTTTTCTTCTCTCTAATGCTCCAACAGCAGTCTAAGCTGTCAGTACTTGTTGTGTTAGTGATGTAGAAGTGGGAGAAGGAATGAGGTAAAATAGAAAAAGAGTGTAATCTGGGAATGAGGGAAAAGATATTTCAGAGGATTTTTCCCAGAAGTTGGATGAAGCCCCTTCATTTGTACTGGAAATTGATAGAAGAAGGGGATTTTGGGGGCACCTGAGTGGCTCAGTTGGTTCCTTGGCAGACTCTTCGTTTTGACTCAGGTCTTGACGACATGGATGCTGAGATTGAGCCCAGTGTCTGGCTCCATGCTCAATGGGGAGTCTGCTTGCAGATTCTCTCCCTCTGCTCCTCCCCCCACTCTCTCTCTCTCTCTCTCAAATAAATAAATCTTTTAAATAAAGGGGGGAATTTTAAGAAATATTGCTATGAAGCATATGTCCTGTTCACTATATTTGAGAAATAAAAGAATTTGATATTAGGTTTTGGTTACTGAAATTTGTTCCTTTAGGAGTCTCTTCCTTGAATTTGGATTGTGTGGGTTCTTGGCTTTAACAAGGAGAGGGATGGAGAGAGGGAGGGAGGAAGAAGAAAAAGAAGAGGGATGGAGGGGAGAGGAGATAGCGAAGGGAGGGAGGAGGAAGGCAGAGAGAATTTATATGTTATAGACAGTCTGAGGGTATTGACATCAAAGTATTAACAGTGATTTCCTGTGAAGAGCAGGCTTGGGGAGGAGGTGGAAAATTTTAACCATCTATAGCTCTTGGTTTGAAGTTTTTCAATGGATATTTATTTAGAATAAAAAAGTAGGAAATAAAAAACCTAGATACTCTTTTAATTTACAGGTTATTGAAATAAAATTTCTATGTAGTGACATGCAGAAATCTTAGGTGTGCAATCCCATGAATCTTGACAAATTCATGTCACTTGCATACACACAAATCTATCAAGATACAAAGCATTTCCATCACTTCAGAAAATTCCCTCCCCTAAGTGTACTTTTACTATTTCCTTTTCTGATGGAGCTTCCATTTTTTCTCAGTGGTACTTGTTTTACTCTTCTGATTCATGGCAATCTGTTTCCCTTGGCCATATCAACCTAAGCTAAAAATAGGAGCTCTCAAACATAATAAAACAGCATTTCTTTGGACCTCTTACAGCTATCATAAGGGAATGCTAAACTGACCCAAATACTTCTGATATTTAGGAAAATAGTATGTTAAAGAATCAATCGACAAAATCAATAGCATTCATATTTGCACATAATAATCTATTAGAATACAACAGGAATGGAGGATCCTGTTTATGATAGAAAATGAGATGAACTGAAATAGAGTATCTAGGCATGAACTTAAGAAATATTCAAGCCTAACTGAGGAAAACTGTGAGACATCGCCAAAATGCACAAAATTGGATTGGAACAAATGGAAAGACACACCATGTTATTAACTAGAAAGATTGAATAACATAAAGATGACAACTCTTCCTAAGTTAATTTATAAATTGATTATTATCCAAACGAAAAGTGGAGATATACTAGTTTATTC